GCATTATTTTAATTGGTGCGTGTGTGTGTGTGTGTGTGTGTGTGTTTTCCACTTCAAACACTGGTCTAACCAACCAGACCAGCGTGTCCAGTAACACATTAATGTTACAATTAAACTTGATTAACCCCAGAGCCGTGCGCACTGCACTATACTGACTGTAAATGAGGGGGAAACTATTTAATCGGATCCTTTACTTTTCAACATGGTTTAATGTAAAGTTTCATTCAGTACAAACTTTAGTTACACCAATCTAACGAGACAGAGCCTAGATTTGTATTCTGAACAGTTTAAACATGTTTGAAACGGAGACGTGCGTGACGCGTCTAAAATTCGCACCTGCTCCGCTATTACGGAAATTAAACTAACAAGATGAATAACATGAAATTATTTTAGGCACAGACAACATCCCCCACACTTTTGAAAAGCTTGCAACGCGCCTGATCACTCATGTACGTCTTAATTATCTTTCATTAGACGATAATCAATAAAACGATTTATATAAAGTGGATCCAGAAGTTGTAGCCCGTCTCTGCCTTCAATTTTTGGTATTTTTCACCCTGTTGATGGTTTTACTGAGCAGGTGCCACTTTTGTCCTACGTTTCTTTTTAAAACATGTTTACACTGTTCAGAATACAAATCCAGGCTCTGTCACGTTTGATTGTTGTAATTAAACTTTGTAGGTGGGGAAGGTCAGAAAGCAGCTCAGAAGCGCCGATATGATTACGCACAAGCGTGACGCGTCAACCTGGTCTCACAGTAAGACCGGGTTGGAACTGTTCAGGTTTACGCAGACAATCTTTACATTTAGAATTAGCATACAGATGTAAAATTAATGCAGTAAAATATAAAGCTTTTTATTTAAATATCCATTCATTATTTCACAAGCACAGAGAGCCGCATCAGATGGATGGAAGAGCCGCATGCGGTTCCAGAGCCGCCGACCCCTGTGCTAGCCTACTTTATTGTCCCCAGCAATTTTTAAACCCCACTCAAGTGTATGGTTATTGTCCCCAGCAATTCTGAAAACAAACTGACGCCCTTGGACATAGAACACCTGAAGCCCTGGCTGCATACAAGGCAGATCTTTCTGCTCAGACGTGGGATGAAGTTTTTTGTAGTGAGGACCCCAACCTAGCATATGATACCTTCTTATCCAAAGTAACCAAACTCTATGATAAACACTGCCCATTGAAGCAATATATTACTGAAAATAAAATTAAAATAAAAAAGCCCTGGATAACATATTGCATAGTAAAGGCTTGTAAGAAGAAAAATCATCTTTACAGAATATATTTAAAACAAAGAACTAAAAGTGCTGAAGAAAGATAAAAGATATATAAAATAAATTAATAAATATAATACACGTGAATAAATAAATTATTAGAACAACACCAGAATAACACACGAGGAATGTGGAAAATATTAAATGGTATAATTAGGAATGGAAAAAAGTTAATGCACTCCCGAGCTATTTCATCAAAGAAGATCATGAAATAACTGATATCAAGGAAATTGCTAATGCTTTCAATCGTTATTTTGTTGAGGTTGGACCATTATTAGCTGGTGCTATTAAAGCACCTATAAGTAAAAATTAAAGCTGCAAGCAGCGTCGTTCGGCCCTCGCAGCGAAGCTGCTCGCCCTCCTTCCGCAACCCCTCCGCTCCATCCGCGACGCTCTCCAAACCCAGCTCCACGCTTCTCCATCCTGGCCGGCAGCCGGGGGCACCAGGGCACGTCTGGCAGAACAGAAAGTCAACCACCCCGACACCAGAAACCGTGAACGGCCTCCGCGTCCACACCTCACCCTGACTCAGCATCCCCTCTGAGCCCACCATTACACGTCTCACCACTAGGAGATACTCTATCTTTACTACATTGGTGATGTGATGTTCAGTCTCGGGCATATCGAAGGCTGTTTGTGGAAGTTACAGTCAAACGTAAGGTCACAGCGTCACGCCAGAAATCGCCATGGCATAAAAGCCCCCCCTTTCTGAAAAGCTATCAGATCTGAATGGTCATTACAACATCATGAAGACAGTGCATGACCTTAGTGTCATCTTGACTAAATTAGAGGGGACAAATATGGACATTTCACCATAAAACAGTAGACTTCCTGTAGTCAGGGGGCGGGCTTAGGTGATGTAAGCTGTCCACATTGTCACTGTCTTCAGATGGGGTCAGTGATCACACAGACAAAATTTGAAATTGATCTGATCATGCACATGGGAGTTATTAAGTCAAGTAACATAATGGCGACTGGTCAAAGTTTGAGGCTTAGCCACGCCCACACCTTTATACTTATTTAAAATCCAACTGTTGAATTTTTTCCTCTATGTCTTAAGAGTATATAGCAGGAGTTTGAAGGTGATCGGTGGAAAGGACGACGAGACATCATTCTCCTAATAACGTGTGCGAAAACCACTAAATCGAGAACTTGGACAAAAATGGCCGACCTCCTGTGCGACATTGTACTTGGCTCCAAGAGACTTTTTTGTAGGTCTTGAGACACTACATTAGTGTGCCAAATTTCGTGATCCTCAGTCAAAGCATGGCTTGGGGCTGATTGTTTTAATGGTCCTAGGGGGGCGCTATTTCAGAAAATAGGCCACGCCCACAAACTTCAGCTGTCCATGTCTATTAGGGGTCAGAGTAAGAAATCGCCATGGCATCAAAGCCCCTCCCTTTCTGAAAAGCTAGCAGATCTGAATGGTCATTACAACATCATGAAGACAGTGCATGACCTTAGTGTCATGTTGACTAAATTAGAGGGGACAAATATGGGCATTTCACCATAAAAAATAGACTTCCTGTAGTCAGGGGGCGGGGCTTAGGTGATGTCAGCTGTCCACATTGTCATTGTCTTGAGATGTGGTCAATGATCACACAGACACAGTTTGATATAGATCTGATCATGCACATGGGAGTTAAGTCAAGTGATGTAATGGCGAAAGGTCAAAGTTTGAGGCTTAGCCACGCCCACACTTTTATACTTATATAAAATCCGACGGTTGAATTTTTTCCCCTTTGTCTTAAGAGTACATAGCAGATGTTTGAAGGTGATCGGTGAAAAGGGCGACGGGGCATCAAGGTCCAAACAACATGTGCGAAAACCACTAAATCAAGTACTTGGACCAAAATGGCCGACCTCCTGTGCGACTTTGCGCTTAGCTCCAAGAGACTTTTTGGTAGGTCCTGAGACACTACATTAGTGTACCAAATTTCGTGATCCTCAGTCAAAGCTTGGCTTGGGGCTGACAGTTTTAATGGTCCTAGGGGGCGCTATTTCAGAAAATAGGCCACGCCCACAAACTTCAGCTGTCCAATTCTATTGGGGGTCAGACTCGGATCACTCACCAGACATTTTGTGGCGATGTCACAATAATTGAAGAAATGAGAGGCAAACGTATTGCCATGGCGTGATGACGAATATCGCCATGCTCCCAAAGCCCCGCCTTTTTTCGAAACCTGCCAGTACTGGAGACCAAGTGACCTCAACTTGTCAGCTGCTATTTGCCAGAGATTGCTGGTGATTGGGTAAAAGGAGTCCAATAGAGAGCTGTGAAAAAAAGAGTGGCGTGGCGACAGGTCAAAGTTTGAGGCCTAGCCACGCCCACACCTTTATACTTATTTAAAATCCGACGGTTGAATTTTTTCCTTTATGTCTTAAGAGTATATAGCAGAAGTTTAAAGGCGATTGGTGAAAAGGGCGATGGAGCATCACTCTCCAAACAACGTGTGCGAAAACCAGTAAATCGCGTACTTGGACCAAAATGGCTGACTTCCTGTGCAACTTTGCACTTGGCTCCAAGAGACTTTTGTGTAGGTCCTGAGACACCACATTAGTGTACCAAATTTCGAAATCCTCAGTCAAAGCATGGCTTGGGGCTGACAGTTTTAATGGTCCTAGGGGGCGCTATTTCAGAAAATAGGCCACGCCCACCGGATGTTCACATCAAATTTTTTGGGGGGCCGGACTAGGATCACTCACAAGAGGTTTTGTGGCAATATCTCTAGAATTGACGAAATGGGAGGCAAACGTAAGGCCACGTCGCTACGCCTGACTTCGCCGCGCCGCCACAGCCCCGCCTTCTGGAGAAAACTCCCATAAAGTGACGCCAAGCAACCCCAACTTGTCTTCAGTTACCTGCTACAAATATGGGGTGATTGGTTGAAAGGGCGAATTTTGGACAATTTCCCAGTAAAACTTGACCTTTTAAGGCCCGAGGGGGCGGGGCTTATGTGACATCATCAATCAACCATTCATTTGTCTTCGGGGGGCGATGACGATTGTCCATAGAAAATTACTTTAACTGTAATTCTTTCATTTATGAAATTATAGCAATTTGAATTTTTTTGGCGAGTGCTCGAACTTTGAGGCCTGGCCCCGCCCCTTCAGTATTTACGAAAAGTCAATTTTTTTTTCTCATTTGATTCGTCCATCGCTTCTGTTCGATCGTACACTTTTTTGAGACAATCGTGCGAAAAATGACCAAACTGTTCAACCAAATATAGAGCCTAGAAATGGCCAAAACGGGGTAAAAATGGCCACTTTAGTCCAAAATGGCCGACTTACTGTTTGATATTGACCATGGGTGCAAGAGGCTTTTCTGTGCGTATTGTTGAGTTCTACACGTGTACCAAATTTCATCACTCTACTATGAAAAAAGGTCAATGCAGAGGGGTATTTTTAATTTTCCAGGGGGCGCTGTTGAAACATTTTTATACCAACTTTCACGTTGACAGTGAAATACGTAAATTTCACGCACTTTCTATATTGGGCCAGAATTTGGTGACTTTTTGGATATGCTAAGACCCCCTAAAGGCCGTCCAAAGACGCGGAAGAAAAAAAAAGAAAAAGAAAAAAAAAAGAAAGAAAAAAAAAAATAAACGGAGCAGATACAATAGGCCTTCGCAGCGCTTCGCTGCTCGGGCCTAATGAGAAAAAAAATTACAGAGTCCATATCTAATTGTAACCCCAGTTCGCTATTTTTAAGGGGTGTAGAAGACATTGAATTAATAAATATTGTCAATAAATTTGAAAACAAAAGTTCAACTGATTGCTGTAATTTAGATATGAGGTTAGTAAAGGAAATTATCAATCACATTGTCACACCCCTTACATATATCTGCAATCTGTCATTCTGTTCCGGGGTTTTTTCCAAGTAAAATGAAAACAGCAAAAGTAATTCCTATTTATAAAAATGGAAGTAAACACTTATTCATAAATTATAGACCTATTTCGCTTCTCTCACAATTTTCTAAAATTTTAGAAAAATTGTTTGTCACTAGACTTGATGATTTTGTAAAAAAAAATTCTACTTGTTGAATGAACAACAGTTTGGTTTCCGATCAAACAGATCCACTCTGATGGCAGTAATGGCCTTAATTGTAGAACAACTGCAGTGGAAGAAAATAAATATACCTTGGGTGTCTTCATTGACCTAAGTAAGGCCTTTGACATTATAGATCATACACTTCTTCTTCAAAAGCTACAAAGATATGGAATTCGTGGCACAGCTTATGCTTGGGTGGCAGCTACCTTAGTTAAAGAGACCAGTATGTGCATAACAATAATGTTGATTCAAGAAAGGAGTTCATTTCTCATGGAGTCCCACAAGGGTCTATTTTGGGACCAAAATTATTCATAATGTATATAATGATGTGTGTACGTTTCTAGATAAAGTAAATTGTTTGTTGTATGCAGATGACACCAGCCTTTATTGTTCTGGGGACGACCTAAACAAACTTGTTGATTTAGTTGAAAAAGAACTGGCAGTGTTAAAAGGATGGTTTGACAGGAATAAACTTTCTATGAATGTGACCAAAACAAAGTACATTATATTTGGAAACAGGAAAATTAATAATGCAATTATTATAAAAATAAATGGTATTGCAATTGAACGAGTACACACATATACATTTTTAGGAATTACTATAGATGGAAAACTGAGTTGGAAGCCTCATATAGATGATATAAAGATAAAAATTTTAAAAAATATAGGACTTATGAGTAGAATGAGATTTGTTTTAGATATTAAATCCCTTCAGATACTCTATATCTCATTTATTTTACCATATCTGAGCTATGGTGTTGAAATATGGGGAAATAATTACAGAGCAAATATTTATCTTATATATTTACTTCAAAAACGTAGTTTGAATAATTTCCCATGCTAACTATTATGCACCGACAAACACTATCTTTATCCATTTAAAAATTCTAAAATTTTACGATATTATTGACCTGCATACACTGGCTGTAGTACATCAGGCATATCAGGCTCATCTTCCACCCTATCTCCAATGGATGTTTGAACAAAAGGAAGATGGAAAAATAAATACAAATACAATACAATACATGTGCCCGCACCCACCTACGCATGCACAAAACTAAAAACTCATAGAAGAAGAAAGGTTAGCAAAGAGTTCAGTAGATTCTCTGAATCAGGTTGAGGAATTTTTGAGTTTGAACTGAAGTATTTTCTTGTGAGTCTTGTCTTTTCTGTAAAAATAATCTTAACTGTATCTATTTTTTTATTTAAAATCATATAATACATTTAGTGTTTTCTTTCATTCGAATCACTCGGACTTTAAATAAGTTATAAAGGAAAGACTTGTAGAACCTTTGAGAACTCATAACTTTGCTATTTAAAATATAATGAGGAACTTTCTAATCATCAGCAATAGAAGAATAAGCTTTTTGTTGGAATTGACAGTGTCATCATTTTTAGAGATGTAGCAGCCTCAATTGAATTGTAAAGATAATGAATATTAGTAGTTTTTTGCTTCCTTTCTGTAGGTCCGAATATTCCCTTACCTGATTGGTCGGGAGTCAGCCTTTGCAGAAAATCTCAAATGGATGGCGTGTGCTAACAAAGGTGAGACTTAATATTAAGTTATTTTTTATTCTCTAAATCAGCTTTTGCATTTGAACAAAAGTTGCTGCATGGTGCTCTAAGCCAAATACAAATCAACATTATGGATCTCCAGTTTTATTTGGCACATTGTGTCTTAACAGTTTGTCGACGCTCATTAGAATTAGCATTTGAACATGGCAGGTGGCAGCTGGTTCCAGTTGCTCAAAGACGACATGTCACATTACTCCAGATTCCTCCAGACCTAAAGTCTGGTCAAGCAAATATATTACTCTGAGGGTGCGTTGTGTACGGTCACAGTGGTGTTGCTGCGTAGATCACTTTCGCTCTGGTTCTATATTTAGTCAGCGGATGGGTGACAGATACGGTCTGGTTTCATTTCCTCAGGCGGCAGCAGATAAGCCATGGGTCACACAAAGGCTGTGTGTATGTGTGTGTGTGTGTGATTTTCTCAGTGGCGTCTACAATGAAGACCAAGGCATCAAAAGTGTCGATGGAGGTGAAATCAGAGAGCTGCTCTACTCAGTCGGAGGGTGTTTGTTAGGGATGAGCCGGATATTCGTTTCAGACGAGTATCCGGTACGGATCAAGCATTTTTGACGAATACGAGCATGAAACGAGTAAAACGAGTCAATATCTGTAATCGTGCTGAGGGAAAATCCTCATTGGGTAACTGACTGTCTTCACGCTCTGTGATTGGCCAGTCACATAGAGCGCCCGCCCCTCCCTACACACAAAACTCTCTACCCGGCCGGGAGCGCAGTCCGGCCGGCTCATCCACGCATACGCGCACACACACACACACACACACACAGAGTAACGGATCTCGCTGTGATTGCTTCACTGTTTCTCACGTTTCTTCAGTTTTCCCTAGGTTTTCTTCAGCTCGCCTCTTTTTCGGTTGAATATTTAAAGTTACTTTTTTCGTAACCGACATGGTGCATTTGACAAGACAGAGCTGACGTGCTGTTGTCACTACCTCCGCTCCGGTCGGGTTTTTTATTTTTTTGAACTCTCTCTCTCTCTCTCTCTCTCTCTCTCTCTCTCTCTCTCTCTCTCTCTCTCTCTCTCTCTCTCTCTCTCTCTCTCCTCTCTCTCTCTCTCTCTCTCTCTCTCTCTCTCTCTCTCTCTCTCTCTCTCTCTCTCTCTCTCTCTCTCTCTCTCTCTCTCTCTCTCTCTCTCTCTCTCTCTCTCTCTCTCTCTCTCTCTCTCTCTCACACACACACACACACACACACACACACACACACACACACACATTAATCAACATTGTTTTGTTTAACTTTGTGTGGGAAAATGCCAAGAACGTTAAGAAAAACATCAGTTTAATCAAACTAAAATAAAAAAATATATATAAAGTTGTCTGGTTCTAGCATTTCATATTCCCTAGTTCTTACTGCATGAGTTCAGATGTATTAATCCATGCACTCAAATATTAATGTTCTGATTTTATTGAAAAACTTGTTCTGTAATAGTTCCTTTACTATTGTGATCAAAAATATTTAATCTCAATTCTGAGGCTGCTCTGTAAATAGTTTTCAAATAAACAATAACACATAGCAACATCTGATCAATCCATATCAATTTCAGATAATACATTGATGTAAACCACGCCCACTTCCGACTAAACCACGCCCACTTCCGGGTTATGCCACGCCCATTCCGAGTACAGATACAGATAATTTAGTTGGTTGAACAGATACAGATACAGATAGTGGTGTACTCGCTCATCCCTAGTGTTTGTAGTCATAAGGGGACCGATGGATTAGAATGTGTTAAGTGAAACATAGCTTAGTTACTAGCCTACAAAGTGACATATTTGTTCTACGTTTCACTATTGAAAAGTATAAAAATGCTACATAAATGTAGCATTATTGTGCTTGCAAGTCATTGTGTATGACTGATCATAAAAATACTAATTGTTTTTTGTTTTCTACACTTTAAAGTTCAGTAAGAGGGTGAAACTGTTTTTTTTTTTGTCACTGGTTTGAGGTCAAGTTGACATTTTGACTTCAATCCAAACAGCAGAAGATCTAAAGACGTGTAGTTTCTCACCTGCGCCACTAATAGAGAAATGAAAAATCACAAATTTGACTACTTTTCTCCAAAATGAAATCCTAATATCACAGAATGCATGATCATTTTTGCAGATGTCACAAAAACTGCAGTGTGAATAGTAGTCAGTGGGACGTTTTTGTCCTCAATAGTCCTAAGAGTATGGTAACATTTAAATCTGCTGTTACACAAAAAATATTGATGTAAAAATTTAAACTTTTTAAATATGACCAAGACTGATTTGTAATAAATGCCCAAGGCAGAAAAATGTTTTTATTTAGAAAATAAATAAATTACTGCCATGACATTGAGTAATCAAACTGGCATTTGAAGGGTTAAAATCCTCAAAACGATTAAAGTTGTTATAGATTTGAGCGGTTCTGAATTTAACAGATCTATGAAAAGAAAAACGCAAAAAAGTATGAACTTATACATTGTTATAGCCACTTTTACGAGTGGACACTTTTGTCCTCTAAGGTCACAAGAGTATAGTAAATGAAAGTGATGCCTGAGGATTAAGAGAATTAGTTGGCAGGACTGGGATCACACAACTGTTCTTTTTCTGTTTTTGGGTGGGTTAGAAGCAGACACATTTGGGAATGCTCTTAAAATCTCAAGTTGGAAGCCAAAAGTCTTATAGACAAGACATAATGGCTTCAGTTTAACTTTTAACCTCCTCTGTAGTTCTTTGCTCATATTTTTTACACATTTTCTTCCATTTATCAATTGCAGTCATGTTATAGTGGGTGTCTTGTTGGTAATTTATATTTATTTGTGTCACACGCATGCCGGTGAGTGAAGCGGAGGCAGGATCCACAAGCGGGAGCAAAGGAAGGCAGGCAGACAAGCAGGAACGGTTTAACAAAAGGGTTTTAATAACAGAACACGCAGGACAATGAAACAATGAACCAACCTGAGACACAGGACTGAAGGGGTTTAAATACATGAGGGCTGGAAGCTTGGGTGATTGGAAAACGAGAGGCAGGTGGGAGCAATTAACAGAGACACATGACTAAACAAAACGGGGAGACAAGACAGGGTGTGACAGTACCCCCCCACCCCCCCAAAGGGCGGATCCCAGATGCCCACAGGAACACAGAGCAGGGCGGGAGGAGGGGGACCAGGAAGGAGGGCCAAGTAGGGCTGCAACTAACGATTATTTTCATAATCGATTAATCTGTCGATTGTTTTTTCGATTAATCGATTAATCGGTTTGTTATTGTTTAGCTATTTAACCTATACAAGTGATGAATACATTTCAGTTAAGAAAAAGGAAAACATAAGAGAATTGTGCAGTTGACTGCAATCTATTTTATTGCACATGAACACAGTCAGCGGTGTAAAATGAGCTAAACAGTGCAAAATATCAGTCCAGAATAATTTTTTGGCATCAAAATATAAGAGGCAAATTCCATAAAAAATAATGTAGAATCTAGAATAGAGTTTGTAAGTGGTATGCATTGCTGGGGGGTGAGTGTCTTGTTCCCCATGTAGTTGTCCATCGTTGCTCGTTTTTTTCTGCATAAGAAACACAAATAGACTGAAATAAGTACACATATAAAATAAAGGAGCACACACACTACAACACTAAATCAATATTACATTATTTGAATTAATTAACAATATACAGTGATCATTTATTTTGATAAAAATGCGTTGTGAGGCGTTTTACAGCGTTAGACAGTAAAACAGCCTTTTAATAGTAAAAAAAAAAGGACTTTCTGAATTTCTCCTGTATTTAAAAATTGAAAGTGTACAACTATGCCACGTTATATTCACCTGGACACAGCTCGTCTGTATATTTTTCTCCGCTGAGTTGTCCTCTTTTGAATGAGGAACATGGGTTTGTGCCGTTTTTCTCTTAACGAGAACATTCTTATAAACAGACGTGCTAAATTTGGCAAGTGCATGATACACAACACGGAGGAGATTCACGATTGCATCTAGTCAATCAGAAGTAGAACACCGTAGACTGACGCGGCAAAAAAACCTGTTTAACATTCACTATAACGAACTCAGCTCCCAAATTTGATCTGTGTTAGCTTGTTTATTTTCTGTTACTTACCGGATTCACCGGACTTTCCTCTGCTGCATCAGCTCCCACATGTTTTCGTCTCAAATGTTCACTTAGGGACGTCGTGCTTCCGTCTTGCCATGGTTTTTGCATATTTTGCAGGTCACCCGTCTTTTAAAAGCATCTAGAGTGAAATGCTCCAGTACTCGTGAGGTTTTTGTCCAGGGTTTATCTTGTTTTGTCGCTTCTATTTTTCTTCCGTATTTCTTCTTGATCCGCCATCTCTCACAGCAAGATGAGCGTCAGTAACGTGATACGTCATGAAAACCGAGGGCACTTATTGGCTCATTTCTTCTTCTACGGCTCCACTGGTAGATCAGTGGCTCATTACTGCCACCCACTGGCGGCAAATTTAACAGATTGTAACCGATCTCAGATTGTGGTAAAAAATAGAGTTTATGCGGTAAAATATGATTATTAAACAACTAATCGATGACTAAAAAAGTTGTTAACTATTTTAATAATCGATTATAATCGATTAAATCGATTAGTTGTTTCAGCTCTAGGGCCAAGAGGATCTGAGGGACCGGTGGAGAGGAGGCAGGAACCAGTAAAGTCCGGGGACCTTCGTCTGGGGCACAGGAGGAGATGACAACGAGCTCTTGGGGGCCTGCGACTGGGGCAGAGGAGGAGATGACGACGAGCTCTTGGGGGCCTGCATCTGGGGCAGAGGAGGAGACCTCTGGACTGGAGGTGGTGGCGTCGACCTCTGGGCTGGAGGCGTTGTCGTCGGACTCTGGGCTGGAGATGTCGTCGTCGGACTCTGGGCTGGAGATGTCGTCGTCGGCCTCTGGGCTGGAGGCAGCGTTGTCGGCCTCTGGGCTGGAGGCGTCGTCGTCGACCAATGGGCTGGAGGCGTCGTCGTCGACCAATG